GTGGCTTTTTGTGACGCAGCGGTTAGAATGCAGCATTGCAGGCTAACTCTGCCCGCTGTCAGGAGTTCGATCCTAACCAGCTCAAGGTTGACTCAGCCTTCCATCTTTCTCTGGTTGGTAAAATGAGGATCCAGATTGTTGGGGGCTATACACTGACCTTATAAACCACCCAGAGAGTGAATTTAAAAAATAACCAGCTAACCGTCAATTACGTGAAACAGAATGGAATCAAATAGTTTTCAACCCATGGAGATTGATTTTTCCTGGCTCCAAAAGAAGACCAGCCTGGTCTAGTTTCACCATACTAACTCTCTGAATGTGAAATGAAAAGACGAAACTCTGAATAAAATTAAAAACAAAGGAAAAAAGAAAACTCTTGATTCAAATTTAAAAGAAAAACATTTGCATGAATTATTCGGGGGAAAAACAGTATTTCCAACCTATCAGATAGATCAGGGCTTTTCAACCAGTGGTACAAGTACCACCTGTGGTACATTGGCACCTGGCAGGTGGTACGCAACCGTCCTAGAAAAGTGGGGGAGGGGAATGAGCTGAACCGGTGGCAGCACCGCACAAGCCTGAGCGAGAGACGGCTGGAGCTGCAGGGCTGTCAGGGCTCAGCGGAAGCGCCAGGATCAGGGCCAGGCTCCAGCTGTAGCTCGGCGCTGATCCTGGCCCTTCTGCTGAGCCCTGAAGAAGCGCCAATCAGCTGGAAAGCAGCACCGATCCTGGCGCTTCTGCTGAGCCCAGAAGAAGCGGCGATCAGCTGGAATGTTGCAGCTCTCCAGGGTCTTGTGATTTACATTCAAATGCTTGGTAACTGATTTGTATTTATGACGGTCACAGTGTCCCAGGGTCATGTGAAGTGACCAAGACCTGCTGCAACCACCCAGCAGATGGGGGGGGAATAAAAACAAAACACCCCCACCCCACCTCCGCTGCCAATCCTCAATACTCACAACAATGAAAACCTCGGACAGGAGGAAGAGCGCTGCCGGGAGGGCAGGCAGGTGTCTTGCTCGGCTGTGGCCTGGGGGGCACTTTTTTCAGTGCCATTGTAACTTCAAACAGTCACTAAGCGAACTGTTGTAAGTCAAGGACTACCTGTACTTTATCCATTTTTTCCTTTTTTCGGGGGGTCATCAAGTTTTTAACACCTTGCTAGGCAACTGGTGGTCCTCGGATGTTGCCATATCCTAAAAGTGGTACAATGGGTGAAAAGATTGAAAAGCCCTGTTGTAAACTTCTGGACAGCTCTACCTGGGATGGACTGAGAACCTTCATCCCCGCAAAGGTGGCACCACCACCTTTGGGCCTCTTTGTCTTCGCCTTGGGGAAGAACATCCAGACTTTCCCATACTGCCTTTCCCTCTTTGTTCCTCTGTCCTCCTCCTCCGTTTGGAAAGACCGTTGTGAAATCCTCGAGGCTTCCATTATAAGGAGACCTGGAGAACATCAGCAGCTGCCGAGAAATCTAAAAAAAAAATGCCCCTGATTTATGTCCTCTTTAGTGCTGGCCTGGGTGGAAAGCCTGTCTGCTTCATTCCCGCTTGATTCTCCTTGCTCAGGTCGCCATGACCCTGCTCTTTGAAACCCTGCTCCAAAACCCGGTGGCTGTCCATCACTTGCTGCAGCTGATTCTCGCTTCGGGCTTGGATGTCTGCGGACTCCGCCTTCTGTATCCCCAGCAGCAGATGTTGCTGTCCAGCACAAGTAAGAAGGACTGGGCTTGTGCTTTAGGCAAAACAGGGTCGGGGGATGAGACACACCGCCCCAGCAGCCGTATAGAGCAGAGGTCCGCAACCTTTGGGGCACCAGGGACCAGTTCTGTGGAGAAAGGTTTTTCCACAGACTGAGAGTGCGTGGTTTTGTGTGCTGCCTGCCTCCCACGGATGGGGCTTTGCTTTTTTTTTTCTACGGACCGGTTGCTGGCGTGCCGTGGCCCAGTACCGGTCCACAGACCGGGGGTTGGGGACCCCTGGCATAGAGAATAAGGTGTAGTTGCAGAAACTGAGCTGAAAAGAGCGGCATTTCACCAACTCAAGCAATGGCGAATGCATCCATTTAGTGACCCTTCAAAGACACAACAGCCCCGAAAAGAGTGACATGACTTTTTCACACTTACAACCACTGCAGCATCCTCAAGATCACGATTCAGAGGCTTGGCAACTGGCATGTATTTGTAACGTTTTTTTGACTTCTCAGTCGTGCTACTTAATCAACTTGACTGAGCTCAGAAGCTAAGTGGGGTTGGCCTTGGGTGGTGCTTGGAAAGGTTAGTATCTAAGTATTTCATGGCTGATGGCCAGACAGCAGACGACAATAGCAGACCTCTTCTTTGGTTAAGAAAACTGCATGAATGCAGGCTCTACCTTGACTTGAGAGCACCTCGGTGCACATACCTGAGAGTAAGCCCTGTAGAATCCAATTGTCTTTAGAAGAGACTATTTGTAGCTCAGGGTTGAAATGTGGGTCCCTTGCTGCTCTCTGAGCTTGGTTGTTTTCTTGCAGACATTTCATTGCCACACTAGGTAGCAGCATCAGTGCTAGAAGGGTGTAGGATTTGCAAAGAGGAGGAGGAGGAGGAGGACTGTGGGATCCTTGGTGCTCTCTGAGCTTGGTTGTTTTCTTGCAGACATTTCATTGCCCAACTAGATAACATCATCAGGCTAGCACTGGATAAGGAAATGTCTGCAAGAAAGCAACCAAGCTCAGAGAGCACCAAGGACACCTCAGTTATCTTTTCCTTACGAATACATCGCACAGTTGCTTCAACGTACAAATTGAATCCATGCTGATTTTAACAGATGTCCCATTTACTGCCTTTGGAATGCCTCTTCTGTAGTTACTCTGCCTTCTTGCTATGCACGAGGGAACGCATCCGCCACGCTTGCTTTGAGCCTGAGAGGATCGAATGCACGGAGCGTCCTTCAAGACATCCTGGGCCCCACTGACCCACAGCTGGCCAGGGTGACCGACAGCTGCTCCATCCACGCCCTCTACTGCTCAAGCAGAGCTGAGCCTTTGGCCTACTCCCCTCGCACAGAGAGCCGGGTGCACAGAGAGCTGTGCTTTTGGTTTGGCGGGAGAGCGCCCTGTGCGAAGACGCTTTGCGGAGGAGATGGGAATCCTGCCTGTCAGCGTAACAAACCAAGGTGACAATCCTGGATGGGTCCAGAATATTCAAAGAAGGGATAGTTTAGTCTAGTGGTTAAGGCATCAGGCTAAAAGTGGAAGTTTTAGTCTTGTGTTAGGTATCCTATCTAGCAGACTAGGTGACTTTGGGCCAATCACCGTGAGACTGTGAGTTCTAGTACAGCCTTGGGCATGAAAGCCAGCTGGGTGACTTTGGACCAGCCACCAGGAGATGGTGAGTTCTAGTCCCACCTTAGCCATGAAAACCACTTGGGTGACTTTGAGCCAATCACCAGGAGATGGTGAGTTCTAGTCCCACCTTAGCCATGAAAGCCACCTGGGTGACTTTGAGCCAATCACCGGGAGACTGTGAGTTCTAGTCCAGCCTTGGCATGAAAGCCAGCTGGGTAACTTTGGACCAGCCACCAGGAGATGGTGAGTTCTAGTCTCATCTTAGCCATGAAAACCACTTGGGTGACTTTAGACCAGTCACCAGGAGATGGTGAATTCTAGTCCCACCTTAGGGATTAAAGCTGGCTGGGTGACTTTGGGCCAATCGCCAGGAGACCGTGAGTTCTAGTCCAGCCTTAGGCACGAAAGCCAGCTGGGTGACTTTGGGCCAATCACCAGGAGATGGTGAGTTCTAGTCCAGCCTTAGGCATGAAAGCCAGCTGGGTGACTTTGGGCCAATCACTCAGCCCAACCTGCCTCACAGGGTTGTTGTGCGGAAAATAGGAGGAGGAAGGAGGATTGTGTATGTTTCCCACCTTGAGTTATTTGTAAAAATAACGGTGGGATATAAATAAATAAACAAATGAAAACCATTTGTGGGAAGTCAACGCTATGATGTCTTGGGAGAACAAAGCGAGGGTACTTGTGGAGCAGGGAGTTGGATTAGAAGACCTTCCAAGGTCCCTTCCAACTCTGTCATTCTGTAATTCCGTTGGAGTCCCTCTGAAAGAAGAGCATCTTTGAAACAGACAACGGAGAAGGGAACTGGCTGGAGAAATCTGTTTTGTGACTGCTTTATTTTCCTTCTGTTCATCTTCCCAGATCCTCCTTCCCAAAAGCCGATGGTGATCAAGAAAAGACAGGCTTGCAAGACGTGGCGGCCCGTCGGCTTCCAGCAACCCTGGTGTCCACCACAAAAGGTTGTCCAGTCGAAGCCCAATACACTCCAGGGAACTGAGGCTTCTCCCCTAGTTCACAGCTCAGCGGAAACACCAGGATCAGCGCCAGGCTCCAGCTGGAGCTCGGCGCTGATCCTGGCGCTTCTGCTGAGCCCTGAAGAAGCACCGATCAGCTGGAAAGCAGCACTGATCCTGGCGCTTCCGCTGAGCCCAGAAGAAGCGCTGATCAGCTGGAATGTTTCAGCCTCTCCAGGGTCTTGTGATTTACATTCAGATGCTTGGCAACTGATTCGTATTTATGACGGTCACAGTGTCCCAGGGTCATGTGAAGGGACCAAAACCTGCTGCAACCACCCAGCGGGGGGGGGGAATAAAAACCAAACACCCCCACCCTACACACACCCCTGCCAATCCCCAAGGATTGGCAGGATCTAACCTAAGGATCTAACACTGTTATTTTCTTCACCTCTGGGGTTGGTTGTTTATGAGAAGATCTTTCTGGTGGGCACAAAAGAGCTCCTTGAAGAGCCGTTTTAATGATCTCCATCTGCTTTGCCCATCCTGTTTCCCAGGAGACCTCATTCTCTTGGCATCCCCCGCTGTGCCTCCTCATAGCTACGGCCTGGTGATTTCTACCTGCACCGAAAGAGGTTTTGTTCTGCAAGGAATCAAGCAGCTGCAACTGTCACCCCCCCAGGCTGACAGACTCAGGATGTCAGCAAGCCAGGTAAGGATGGTTGTCAGTGCTGATGGCTGCTGATCCCTGGAGCTTCTTCTTCTTCTTTTTTTATTAAAAGTTTTACAAATTACAATATAACCCCCCCCCCATACATCCCCCCCACTTCCCAGAGCTGATTACAGGGTAACAAATAAACAAACATAATCCAGCTAACATAAACCAACTCAACTATCAATCAAAACCATAACACACTTTAACTCCTTCTCAAAACCAATATTAACAAATTAAGACAACAATAATAACACAATTAATACTATTAATAATTATCTAAAATCTACTCAAAAGCAAGGTAATACTTTTCAGTTTCATACTTCTTCTGAATATAATCAATCCATCTTCTCCAAACCATAATGTATCTTTCTTGTGAATGGTCCTTCAAATAGGCGGAGATTTTCGCCATTTCTGCTAAGTTAGGCACTTTAAGTATCCATTCTTCCAAAGTAGGCAATAAGTTTTTCTTCCAATATTACCCCAGATCCCTGGAGCTTCTTGACTTTGCTTCTTCTCCTTCTGTTCACCTGCCCTTCGGGTTGAGGGATGACTGGCCCGATACTGCGTCCCCATCCGTGGGGGTCTTGCCAGGGTGAATGACAGCCCATTGGGCCAAACAGAGATTTACACCTTCCTGGTTTTAATCTCCAAAGAGTAATGAACAGAAGGAATAAGGAGGAAGAGTTACCACCAAGACAGTGCCGCAGCTAGATAAAAGAAATCTGAGTCCCAAACAGAAATGTAATTTGAGACAGCGTGTCAGGCATGACCCTCCCTACTTCTCAGGAAGAAGGAAAGGGAAGGAGGGAAGGGAGAAGCCTACTAGTAATGCTGATGCCAGTCCTCCAAGGTAAACCAAACTTGGAAACCAAAAACATGAAAATGTATATTACTTTTATTACAAAATTATACTAACAGGATCTTGCAAGCCAGAGGGGGCCAGGTTATTCTCCAAAGCACAAATTCCAAATCACAATGCTTAGGTTTGCATGACATACTATACCAGGGGGTCTTCAGACCTGGCCCTTTTATGACTGGTGGACTTCAACTCCCTGAATTCTGGGAGTTGAAGTCCACAAGTCATAAAAGAGCCAAGTTTGAGGAGCCCTACTGTAGATGTTGCTGAATCGCATCTCCTAATATTTACAGGACGTAAGAGAGGAGTCAGTGCCGGGAATTGTGATTTGGCAACATCTGGAGAACCAGAGATGGCGACTATCTCTATTAAAATCGAACCAAATGTATCATGTTATGTCTCCGTGCTCTTTCAGGCTCCGAGGCTTTTTCAGTTCATATGAAATGCTGCTTGGCCTCTTCCAGGCTACTGAGCCATGGCCATATTGTTTGAGAATGATGACGAAAGATATCATCAGAAATAACTGGAGGGCGCCAGATTGGGAAAGGCTATAATAAGCCCATTAATTTTTATATTCCGGAAAGGTTCCGGAAAGATTCCGAAAGGCAAATGATTCACCATCATGACTCACGACAGTTTTGACGCTGGTTTGTCAAAAAGCTGCTACTTGGTGATGCAAAGACACCCTCCCCCCTTCTGATGTTTGTTGCTGTCTTTTCCGTCCCACGAAATATCTTTATATGTCTGCAAGCTTCTTATCCTCGACCATATGGAAACTCCTTCGGAAAAATCAGCCTTGCATTCTATTCTGTAATTCAGGCTCTGATCTCAAGCTCCAATCTCGCTGATCTCAGACTGGGGATTGGGTTGAGCAAGGACAGAGCCAGGCTCATCTCTCTGAAACCCAACGCTTTGGAGTGCTGTGGCTCTAATTCTGTGAATGGCTTTCAAAAATATTGAAGGACTCTCAGAGACGGCGTCCTGCTGTATTCCAAATGCTGCCCCCGAACTAATTTTGAACAGGCACAAGGAGGGAAATTGATCAACTACATAGGAAGCAATTGTATAAAATGCATGAAATGCATTTTTCTCTTTTCTTAAACTCTTTTCTTTCTCTTTTTTTTTTTAAAAAAAATAAAATTGCTTGCCTGGTCCCCTTTATCTTTTAGAGGGCCATCAAAGGCCAAATAGTTCAGATGAACAAGACCCTTCCTTCCTTCCTTCCTTCCTTCCTTCCTTCCTTCCTTCCTTCCTTCCTTCCTTCCTTCCTTCCTTCCTTCCTAACTCCCTCCCTCCCTTCCTTCCCAGAACAAACTTCTTGGTAGAAAAAGTTCAGGGAAATCCATTTGTGCAGTTGGCTCCTTGAATTTCAGAATGGTACAGTCCTGGAGGATTCCCTCCCCCCCCTTCCATATAATTAACAGCTTCCATCAATATTTATGCAATACCAGCAGGACATCTTGTTATGCTATTAAAGCAGGCAAGTCGCCCCTTCTCTGCAGCCAATGGCTGCTGCAACAGCCTTTGCTATCCGGACTTAATGATTGATGCTGCATTTAACTTTTACGAAGCCAATAGCCCATTAGAGACCAATTCTAAGCTTTTTGCTGGATGGCTGCATTTCTGCTGATTCCCACCCCCCCTTCCCCCTCATGTGGGACAATTGCCTGACCATGTATACATTCAATGGAGCCATTATCTGGTATAATATTTAATTCCTTGACCCTTTTCCTAAACCCTTTCGTCGGAGGTGAACGTGAATGAATTAACCGTTTCGAAATCACTGGTTTGTGTCTTTTACAGGCAACGGCGTTTTGTCCTTGCAAGCCTTCAGGTGTACGAGAAAGCAGAGGTTCAGAGGTTCACCTCCTCCCCCAAGCATACCTGCATTGTCTAGCTTTGCTGCTAAGAAAGGAAAACGCAAGCCTTCATGCCCCAGCGTTGCAGAAAGGTGAAGTGTCTTCAAGAATAGCCGAGCTCACACATTGCACTGTGCCCCAGTGTAGGTTGGTGGTAGCTTAGCGCAGGAGTCCCCAACCTCGGCAACCTTTAAGACTTGTGGAAGTCCCAGAGTATTATATAACATGGAACAAGTTGTATGTCTGGTTGGAGACTAGAAATAATAGAGGAGAATAAATATGGAAAGGTCAAAAGTGAAAATTTGTGTATAATAATGTATAATAATAATAATAATAATAATAATAATAATAATAATATGAATTATTCTTAGTAAGAAGTAGAACATGAAGGAAGAAAAATGTAAATAAGAAACAACGGGGCAATAAGGACAAATATTCTAAAGAAGAATAAGGGGGGAAATATAAATAATAGATTACCGTTACGCAATTGCTGTAAAAAAAAAGGAGGAGTATATATTGTGTGTGTATATGTGTTTTATTTTGCTTTGTTTTGTTTTGTCTTGTTGGTTAAAATTTAAAAAATTAAAAAAAAGACTTGTGGAAATCCAGAAGTCATAAAAAGGCCAAGTTTGAAGACCCATGTCTAAGGATGGACCAGCTATGGCTCTCTAGATCAGGGGTCTTCAAACTTCGCCCTTTTATGACTTGTGGACTGGCTGAGGAATTCTGAGAGTTGAAGTCCACAAGTCTTAAAGTTGCCAAGGTTGAGGACCCCTGGCTTAGCATGTTGCTAAATCACAAAAGCAGCTGATGATTAATTGTACGGTGCAAACTGACCAATTGTGATTATTCTGTAAATCATGGATACACACATTGTGACGTGAGCATTAAATGGGACCTTCTTGACCATTCCCAGATACAGTGGCTGCGTTTGTGCACAGCTCTATGCCTTGGTTTGCTGAATCACTCCACATTTAATCAACCATTGACAGGCATAAAAGATCAGGTCCAGTTCAACTGATGTATTGCTAAACTGCCCAGGAATCTTCTCAGCTAATGGTTAACTGCTGCCAGGAGTTAGATGAGGGTCAAGGGAATTCAGGGGAGATTGCACTTAGTTCACTTATGACTATGTAGGGATTCTAGGCTGATCCCTTTATTGACTCTGCCCCCAAGTTCTGCCACTCCTTCCCCTACATCCACAATCTTCTGTGTTCATGCAGGAAAGCAGGTTAAAACAAAAGAAACATTTTGAGTTGGGCCAATAGGTATGTCGTGTGTTATTTATATAAATAATAAAGGCAGTATATAATATAATAATAATAATAATAATAATAATAATAGTTGGAAGGGACCTTGGAGATCATCGAGTCCAACCCCCTGCTCAGGCAGGAACCCTACACCATTTCAGACAAATGGCTGTCCAGTCTCTTCTTCAAAACTTCCAGTGTTGGAGCATTCACCGCTTCTGGAGGCAGGTTGTTCCACTGGCTAATTGTTCTCATTGTCAGGAAGTTTCTCCTTAGTTCTAGGTTGCTTCTCTCCTTGATTAGTTTCCACCCATTGCTTCTTGTCCTGCCTTTAGGCGCTTTGGAAAATAGCATGACTCCCTCTTCTTTGGGGCAGCCCCTGAGATACTGGAAGGCTACTATCATGTCCCCCCTCGTCCTTTTCTTCATTAGACTAGGCATACCCAATTCGAGCAACCGTTGTTCATATGTTTTAGCCTCTGGTCCCCTGATCATAACCTGAATCAGGCCAGTAATTGAATTCCCACATTATGCTAAGCTATAGTTTAGCACAGTGATTCTCAACCTTTTCTTCAGCACGGACCCCCTTTAAATACCTTTCGTGGCCACAGACCATGTCCACAGACCCCCAAGACTTAACTCAAGATTTGAATCATAATATTTTTTTCAACTGTTCACAGACCCAGAGGTCTGTGGACCACAGGTTGAGAACCACTGGTTTAGCATAATAGCCATGAGATATTAAGGAAAACTACGGTTGGCACTTTATCTTAGTTCATAGTGGTAAAAACAAATTGTGGACCAAATCCACAGACTAAAATCCCATTAATAAAGTAAGTGAAAGTTGGTGGATGGGGAATCGTATTACTTTAGTACTTCCTATGATGCACATTATTTGGGGGGGGGCGATGGCTCAGCGGTTAAAGATGCTGAGCTTGTCAGCTGGAAAGCTGGTAGCCCTGGTTCAAGATCCGAGTGCCTCTTGATTGGGTGAGCTCCTGTTTTTACCTCAGCTCCTGCCAGCCTAGGAGTTCAAAAGCAACCAAATGCGAGGAGATAAATAGGCACCACTTAGATGGGAAGGTAGCAGCATTCCATGTGCCTCAACATATAGTCATGCTGGCCACATGACCCCAGAAGTGTCTTCGGACAACGCTGCCTCCTTCAGCCAAGAAACTTGAGATGGGAAAACTTTTGTCTTTACCTTTATGTTATTTAGGACTGATGAACAGACTAACAGAAAAAGGCTTCCTGCAGGAGATACAATCCAATCTGAATTCCGGGGTCAAACCAGATCCCAGCCGATGTTTCCATGTGGTTCCTTACACCGAAAGCTTCCTGCAGGAACTGGGTAAGTTTATCAAAAAAAAAAAAGGGTAAATTAAGATCTTGCCTACTAAGTGTGTTAGCTTTTAAGGATTGAGAGGGAAGATAGCTGGAGCTGAAAGTCACGGACATGTTTTGACCGTTTGCTCCTGTTCAGCCTAGCTGACTACTCAAGTGTAGGAGAAGGAAATACTCAAAGTTTGCCAAGCACTACGGCAGTGATGGCGAACCTTTTAGAGACCAAGTGCCCAAACTACAACCCAAAACCCACTTATGCATCGTCAGGTGCCAGGGGGGGCATGTCCCATTGGGTGGGTGTGGCCAGTTGGGTGGGTGTGGCCCATTGGGGGGCGTGGCTGCAGTGATAACAGCAGACTGGGTGGGACTAAAAAGTTTGATCAATCAATTCCAACTTTGCAAGATCTTTTTTTTCCCGCGAGAAGTTGAAATTGATTGATTGAACCTTTTTTTTTTTGCACACGGTGGCGGAGGCCTAAAGCAAAAAGGTTTTATAAAACCCAGCTGAAGGCCTAGGACAGGGGCGATGGCGCACGTGCCCACAGAGAGGGCTCTACGTGCCACCTGTGGCACTCGTGCCATAGGTTTGCCACCAGGTGATTACAGAATTGTAAAAAGACAGTTTTTAAGTGGACCCTGACATAGAGCGGGAATAACACTAGGAAGAAGAAGTGACTAAGTCGTGTCCAACTCTTTGCAAACCCATGGAGCACAGCACGCCAGGCCACCACGGCACTAAGGTATATGCAGCTTCCAAAAGTCATGTCAGTCTACAATGCGAAAGGGAAATAAGAAATGGCCCTGAAGTAGGATTCATGTCTCCTTTATCTGTGCAATACAGATGTGCCCAGGGAACATTTACATGTCTTAAAATAAATCACTTTATGACTGGGTTGGTACTTACCATGAGATGGAAAAAAATAAACTTTGGCCTTGGGTTTTGTTGATTCGATAGATTTCTCGGTGATAGAAATGGTTAGGACATATTAGTGTGTAAAAGTAAAAACCTGAGACTGTAATGTTTTTACACTGGGGATCACCCAACCTTGGGGCAATGAAACCGTCATAAATGCAAATCAATTTCCAAGCATCTAAATTTGGATCACGTGACCGTGGGGATGCTGCAACGGTCATAAGTGTGAAAACTGGTCATAAATAACTTTTTTTCCCCATGCTGTTGTAACTCCGAATGACCACTAAATGAATGGCTGGAAGTTGAGGTATTCACTTTATTTATTCATTAAATTTATATGCCACCCAATTCACTATCAGGAGATTCTTGGCAGCTTACAATGTCATAAGACTTGGGTTTGGCCAGTCTAAAGAAAAGAAGAAATAGGGGAGACATGAGAGCAGTGTTCCAGTATCTGAGGGGCTGCCACAAGGCAGAGGGGGTCAGGTTGTTCACCAAAGCACAAGAGGAAAGGACGAGAAACAATGGTTGGAAGCTGATCAAGGAGAGAAGCAAGCTGGAATTAAGGAGAAACTTCCTGACAGTGAGGACAATCAGCCAGTGGAACAGCTTGCCCCCAGAAATCGTGGGCGCGCCATCACTGGAGATTATTTTTTTTTTTTATTGAAAATTTTTAGATTTTACAAAACAGTACAAATCCCTTCCCCGAACCCCCCGAACCCCCCCTACCCTCCCCCGACCTTCCCAGAGTTGAATACAAGCTTAATTAAAATTTTTCCAAAAAGTCTTAAAATAGATATAAACCATAAGCAAATCTAAATACACTAATTAAACAGATTGTAAAATAATTAACAATAATATATATATATATATAAAGACAAAAATACAAGGAAATACAAGAAAATAGGAAGAAAGAAAAGAAAAGAAATAAAAAGAAAAAAAAGGAAAAAAAGGCTATAAAGTCTATAAAATATCTTGAATTTTAAGTATAAGTTATTGAAAAGCTAAATAATATTTTTTTATATCCAGCTTATATTGTATGAAGTCTATCCATTTTTTCCATACCAAAAAATACTTCTCTTGCTGTAATTAAATTTAACATCAATGTAATCTCTTTAATATCACAATCAGAAACAATACCTAACAAAAACAATTGTGGGGTAAATTTTACCCTTCTTCTAAAAATTCTTTGGATATTCCACCATATCTTAATCCAAAAAGCTTTTATATTTTTACGTGAGATTATTAAGAAGAAAATAGACAATCACCTGTCTGAGACGATATAGGGTCTCCTGCTTGAGCAGGGGGCTGGACTAGAAGACCTCCAAGGTCCCTTCCAGCTGTATTTTACTCCATTCTATTCTATTCTATTCTATAACATACAATATAAAACAATGAGAATGTTAAAAGGATTACAATATTAAGCATCACAAATTTTTAAAAAATTGAAATTAACATACAATGGGATCAGAAGGGTCCGGTACCTACATGATTGCTCCTAATATTTAAGGCTGGCTATGGTTTTGTTAATCCTGGTCTGTTGACACAGCTGAATAGATTCACACCTTGCCCCAAGCTTTAAACCAAATAAGCTATATTATATGCTGTTAGAACGGGGCATGTATGAGCCAGTTAACTGGGATTAATCAGTAGAGATATTGTCCTTTTGAAATGTTTCCTGCTGATGGTTTTAGCAATAAGACAACGTACATTTCAGATGAAAACCGATAGTTAAAAGTCATTATTTCTGGGCATGTGCCAACAAGTCACGCCCGGCTTGGAGCACCGTCTGGAGCGCACTGTGCGCCAATGCATCAATAAGTCATAAAGGTTGCAATAAATCTGGATTCATAATTACCAACCAGACAAATGTATTTTCAGACAAAGATGGGTCCCTTGGAATAAAAATGAGGGTTACGTGCGAACAAAATTCACTTTCCAAGCTGATTAATTCCTTAGCCACCTCACAGTCCCCATCTTGAAGTCACCAAATGCTACTTACATGCTGAGTGTTACTAAAAAGAATTGGTGTGCCTCTTTCACATCTATGACTGCAAATTCTGCATGGGGAAATGAAATTGTCTGCTTTATGTCCATTTTCTTCGTATGCCTAGAAATGGGTAAGGTTCTAAATAGATCTAGCCCGCAGCTGTTACGATCGGATCACTACGATACAATTTCTCTGACTGAAACTAAATTCTGCAGTATCGTCTGTAAAATTAGACAAACTTTGGCTGCCCATCAACGATCTCACCACTAGATGTATGGTGCTATTATTTTGTTTGTTTGTAACCCACCTTTATTATTTTTACAAATAAACCAGAGCAGCAACTATATCCAGCACAACATCCTCCTATTTTTCCTCACAACAAGCCTGTGGGATGGGTTGGACTGAGAGAAAGTGACTGGCCCAAAGTCACCCAGTTGGCTTTCATGCCTATGGCGGCACTAGAAACCACCATCTCTTGGTGATTGGCCCAAAGTCACCCAGCTGGCTTTCACACCTATGGCGGCACTAGAAACCACCATCTCTTGGTGATTGGCCCAAAGTCACCCAGCTGGCTTTCACGCCTATGGCGGCACTAGAAACCACCCTCTCTTGGTGATTGGCCCAAAGTCACCCAGCTGGCTTTCACGCCTATGGCGGCACTAGAAACCACCATCTCTTGGTGATTGGCCCAAAGTCACCCAGCTGGCTTTCACGCCTATGGCGGCACTAGAAACCACCATCTCTTGGTGATTGGCCCAAAGTCACCCAGCTGGCTTTCACGCCTATGGCGGCACTAGAACTCACAGTTTCCTGGTGATTGGCCCAAGGTCACCCAGTCGGCTTTCATGACTAAAGCCAAACTTGAAGTCAAGATGTCTGACTTTCTAACCTGGTGCCTTAACCTCTAAGCTGGCTTGTTCTGTTCTATTTAATTTTAAAGTTTTAATTTTCAATTCTGGTCTGTGACCGTAATAAAAGATTGATTGATCCTCGCTCTTTCTTTGGTTAGGTGGTAATTTCAGCGCTGTGCCGAGTCCCTGCGATATTCCCATGCACGTTGTAGCCAGACGGAGGTATGCCACCGATCCCGATCTCGAGCAAGTTGTCCTGTTGAGTTTCACTGGCCAAGATGCTCTGAAGAGTGCTGGTGATCTTCTACATCAGATTCTCACATCCGGCTCTGGGCAGCAGGAAGCTCCCTCTCTGGGTAATTCTCATTCTTATGCTCGACAAAAAATGGAACCCTGCGGCTTTGATACAAACTGGATTTGCATGTGACCCTAAATTTAAATGTGGGAAGTGAAGGCAGGAGACTAGCTTCATATGGACAGTTGTGTTAACTGTCGGTTTGATCTTTTGCTAAGCCGGCCACAGTTGGGTGACCAGCGTGATACACATCACAACAGAAAGTCTCATGCCCCATAGCCAGATTTCCACCACTTCTAAGCAAGGCAACCCCAAAAGCTTGATGGTCTGCTCGATCATTCCTTCATTAGAATATTGCTTTCTGCTTGATTGTTTGTCCCTGCTTCTTTGGCTGTTGGCTTCTGGAGACTATGCCTTCTCGTCTTTTTGTTTCCTGTTTAGCTTTTCATTGTCTCTTTTGAATGGTGCATAAATGTAGTTTATCTCCACATGTCTAGTGATGATTGATTTGTCTGCCTGCCCAGCTTCTAAGAATTCCCTAGTGTTTTTAGATTTAGCTTTAACTCAATAGAGGTTGATGGCCTAGCAGTTAAGACACTAGGTTTGCCGATCAGAAGATTGGCAGTTCAAGACCTAAGCACCGTGTGACGGGGTGAGCTCCCCTTCCTTGCCCCAGATCCTAGCAACCTAACAATTTGAAAGCATGCAAATGAAAGTAGATAAATAGGTACCACTTAGGTGGGAAGGTAGCATTTCTGCACCTCGGTGTATAGTTATGCTGGCCACTTGATTTTGGACAATACTTTTTAAGAGACTCACAATTTCTCAGTTGAAACTATGACTGAGTTTGTCCTTGTATTGTGCAATTGAGTGTTCGTCACATCTTCCAACTGCTAGCTGCTGTTCATGGATGTGCTCTACTAGTCTTCTGAACACCAACCAGCAGTCAGGAGACATGATGAAAACTCCTTAATTTCCGAAAGGTCTGCCAGAAAACAACCGAAATCAGAGAGCACCACAGATTCCGTGGTTGCTTTCCCTTTTTTCTGACTTACTTGAGCTTGCAAAAAGCTCTAGATTCCAGAAACTGCGGCACTATGGCTAAGCCACGTTTTTTTTAATATTTATTAATACACCTGTAGACACACAAGGTGGCCAACCGTAACTCATCGTTTACAAACACATTGGCTGGCTCCCATATTGCAGTAAGGCCCAAAGGAAACACAACACATTAGGGTTTAGTTCAAGGTGTGAATGCGGCCAGCATCTTATTTTTCTTCAAAGTTCTGAGTGTAATTGATTGTCGAACAGCAAACTCCCAAGTTGGAACTGCGCCCTGTTCTTGACTAACTCCAAGCTAATGAGCAAAGACTTGTCACTGAATTTCAAGCCATTGTGTACAAGGTACAGATGTGCCAACCTCACCAGCAGGAGAACACTCTTGGCCGCCCCAGATGTCTGGCACAACACAAAAGGATCCCAGTTTGCAAACAGAAATCATGAGTAAGTTCCTCAGTGTGTCAGGCTGAGAGTAACATTTTCTCCACATCTATAATTAATCCCCTTTCAAGGAAAGCATTATCAGGGATGGCCTAAAAACCCATAATTATGTATACTTCGGTGTAAGAGCACTTAACTTCAATTGTACTCTCGTTGCAGAAATCTTCTAAGCCCCAAGAGGGCTGTTTTGTCAGACTTCTTAAAATCAGCCTCCATTTTTTACCTTCTTGAGTGATATGGGACAGCCTATCACACATTCCCCCCAAAAGAAATTGTTAGCAGATCAGTGACCAGGTCTTTATAATCTCACTGTGATTACGACATCACAGTGAGGAAATTTAAGGAGAAATTCCCATAAGACCTTATGATCATCTTTTGCAGCCTTCTGACAAGCAAATTCAGATGGGGAAATCGGACTCTCTTAACAACCGCGTTGCTAACGTAACGACTGAAGTGATTCACTTAACAATTGTGCGTGAAGTTTCCGACTGATGATCCCAATGAAGCAAGCACAGCTGAGACATTCCAATCTCTAATGCAAAACTTTATTGAGTACAGCTTATCGGCACTGATGAATTGAAAACCAGCTCTGGGGAAAATGGCGACAGAACAGTAAATTAAAAGTGTAGAAACCCCCCACCCTTCCCCTCTGATAGCGCAGGTCCATTCCCCAATCAAGTGTCAGACAATTGTTATGAGAAAAACCTTTCCAGTTCCCAGTTCTGCAATGACCTTGATGCCCAGGCTGGACCGTTTACAGGTGCACTGAGCACCGCAAACACCCCCCCCCCGGGTCTGTTGGCAAGCTAAGAAACAACAATGGCTGAAGCAGAATAAGTTTCTTTGATACTTGACACTGTGGCAAAAAAAAAAAAGTTCATAAAAGGGGGCAAAACTCATTCTACCTTGCTTAGCAACAGAAATTTTGGGCTCCATTGTGCTCGTAAGTTGGGAACGACCTGTAATTTGTGGTGATCTCTTGGCAGGAGAAGATTCGGCCTTTGAGCTGCTCGGCCTCAAGTGGTTGCCTCATCTGACTAGGATTCAGGCAAAGGAACTCAGCCCGTTTGAAGTTGGAGATAAATCTTGGCAAGAGAGCGTCAAGCTGCTGACGTCCCGCCCTGCCCTCGTTTGTGCCTTGCGACGGACCGGAGCCTTTGTCGGTCTTTCCGAGATTCTGAAATCAACCAGCAATAAACCTAGTGGGAGTAATCTCCAGAGGCTGATGTCGTTGACCCCAGAAATGGCTTTCCGTCAAGCTGTTCTCTTTTTCACTGAGCAAGAGTTGATAGGCGGTGGGTAAACTCTTCTCTTTTATTGACTGACCAGCCCGCTTAGGTTGACATAAAATATTTGGGAGATCCAGTCTTTCTTAGGGACACGGACCAGTTTTGGAAGCTGGCCCGTGGCTCCTGTGGTCCTTCCACTGAGCCATGAGGGGAAAATGATGGCCCTAGGCATGCTTTCTCAACGTTGGCCACTTTAAGAGGTTTGGACTTCAATTCCCAGAATTCCCCAACATGGATGGCTGGGGAATTCTGGGGGTTGAAGTCTTCACATCTTACAGCGGCCAGGGTTGAGAAAGCATGTTGTGGCCCAAGAACCATTGTTTAATATTTTGCAAGAAATCAATCCAGACCTTTGCTAAAACGTCTTTGTCCCTTTTGCTCTACTCAAGAAAACATGCAGAATGTAGGTTTTCCAAAAAGAGGGGTGAGAAGGAGAAGGTTGATAGCCCTTTTGACCCTGTCCTCCCTTTCGTCAGCCTGCCCATCACATAACCCCCAAATAGTTTATTTTGCAAGAATGTGACCCTCTGCCGAAATAAAAATACTGCCCGTGCTTGCAAGAAGCCCTGCTTTAATAGCTCATTCTCGCCCCTAAAAAAAATCCAATTATGCTGTTGCAGATTTCAAGCGCCGTCCTGCTTTGAGATTCTTGCCACCTGCACAATACGTCCCGCCAACAGGTAAGATTCCGACGTTTCTTTAGTTCTGGAAAAGAATCAAGGAGATATTCAACCTAGAACTAAGGAGAAATTTCCTGACAGTGAGAACAATTAATTAGGGGAACGACTTGCCTCTAGAAGCCGTGGGTGCTCCATCGCTGGAGGTTTTAAAGAAGAAATTGTACAGCCATTTGTCTGAAATAGTATAGGTTTTCCTGCCTGAGCAGGGGGTTGGACTAGATGACCTCCAAGGTCCCTTCCAACTCTGTTACTCTAAGAAACTGAGTTGGAGCTGGATGTTTTTCTGTACCATTCAGTGGTTAGTTGGATTTAAGTATTTATACAACAAACCTAATCTGACTACTAAATTAGCCCATTTTCTTTTTGATTTTGTTTTAATTATTAAGAGATAAAATGGAAACCACAGTTTAGAAAGTCAGAGAAGAGACGTGCAGAAAGAAATGAAAAGGGGTGACTTCTGACTTTTTATCAGGGCAGTAGAATACAAAAAAGCTACAGCCTCAACCTTTTGCTTTTCATGTCTAAAAGCTTCAAGTTATGTCTATAACCACAAAGTCATTCTAGCCCGCGAAACCTAAAATTAGAGTTTCATTTTTTTTTTCAGTTTTGAGTACAAAATTCAGAAGCCTTTTCCCAATGGAGACAAAGCTAGATAAATTCTTCTCTTTAATTAAACCAGTCAATTTTGCCATCTCTGCCAACTCCATCACCTTTACTGTCCATTCATCCATTGTGGGAATTAATGTATCTACTAGGTTAACCCATTTTACTGCATTTTGGGGCTACGTGAAGCCATGAACTGAGCAAACTGGTTTGTTCATCAGATTAAAACACACACACACACAAAAACTATCCAAGCTTAAATAACCAAGCTTGGCATGTCTTTACTAATACAGTTGATTAAGTGTGTAATAAGGACACAGAATTTTTATTGTGCCAACCTACCCAGTGCAGTTTGTAAATCATGGTTTATAGCTTGGCACTGCCAAGCCAATGAGGCTTATTCAACCCCATGTATCTGGTCACTGCTTTTTGCTGGAGACGTACAGCTTGCTTAATTTCTTTGTGGAATTTACCTTTCATACAGTGCTAAAATCCCATCCACCTTTCATTCTGCAGGGGGAGATATTCAAGGGAATTATGCCGACTCCCTCTTCCTCTGCATGCAAGCAGGTAAAAGCAAAAAAAGCAAAAAACAAAACAACCCAAAAACCACACAACAAAAGGTTTAAGCTCAAACTCCTGCCCTGCTTAAGAAAAGGTGTACTGACCAAATCCTGAGTTTATTAAGGGGAAGGAAGGAAGGAAGGAAGGAAGGAAGGAAGGAAGGAAGGAAGGAAGGAAGGAAGGAAGGAAGGAAGGGAGGGAGGGAGGAGAAGAGAAGGAAAAGGGGAGAGAAGAGAGGGAGGGAGGGAGAAAGGAAGGAAGGAGAAGGGGAAAGGAAGGAAAAGGGGAGAGAAGGGAGGGTGGGAGGAAGGAAGGAGGGAGGGAGTGAGGAAGGATGGAAGGGGAAAGAAAGGAGAAGGAAGGAAGGAGAAGAGAAGGAAAAGGAGAGAAGAGGGAGGGAGGGAGGGAGAAAGGAAGGAAGGAAGGAGAAGGGGAAAGGAAGGAAAAGGGGAGAGAAGGGAGGGAGGGAGGAAGGATGGAAGGAGAAAGGAAGGAGGAAGGAAGGAAGGAAGGAGAAGAGAAGGAAAAGGGGAGAGAAGGGAGGGTGGGAGGGAGAAAGGAAGGAAGGAATCTTAGCTTTATTGTTCCTTCTCATGCATTGAAAAAAAGTGAGCCGAGAGCAGAGAATTGTAACTAGACACAAAATATGTATCCTGCTTACTATAGCAGGAGTCATGCTCCCAACTATTAAATATCTTTTCTTTAAACTCTGATTTTGTAAAAAAAAAAAAAATAAATAAATCCAAAAGCGATCAAAGGAAAAGTTGGAAGCATTACCCTCAATGGGATCCGGCTGCATTAATCCTCGATGGGATTGAGCTCATACAGCCAGATGCATTTCGAGTCTATGGCCCTGAAGCCAAATCCAAGGAAGCCCATCGCTTTTTCGCCCTCCCTCGGCATCTGGTGGGGAGAAAAAAAAGACAAATGTGGCATTTATGGAGCAGCCAAGGCCGAAGCTGATGCCTCCTCCCCAAAGCTGCCTTCTGACACGATCCTGCTTGCCGGGGGAACTTTTGATTTAGCAGGAAAGGAGATCTGTGCGGCAAATGGTCAAAGCAAGACAGAGGTGCTGGAGGAGCAGAAGCTGGAGAAGACTGTTAAGGACTGACACCCCGAGGAATCTCGCCAGCCTGCAAGAATGCTAATGGCCTGAACTGATCGTGCACTTCCTACCTGAGATATTTTTTAAAGAAGCGCAGTGAGAAAGGTGGAATAATAAATTCTGGGTCTACTGAGCTCTATGACTCACCTTTGCTAGAAAGACTGAAAGGCTTTCCCCAGCACGTAACAGGCTGTACTTGGCTTGAAAAGAAGAGGAAAAGAGTGAACGAAGCAAGAACTGAGACTGGGAGCCATCGGAGTCATTTCCTCCTCTGCCACCATCATCCTCACCCTCACCACCCCATCATCGTGGCTGTCACCACCATCACCGTCATCATCACCATCACTACTAGCACCAACATCACCATCACCCCTGTCACCACCATTCTCCTCATCACTACTACTACTACACTACTGCCATGAATATCACCACCATACCCATCCTCATCACTACTATTGCCACCACCATCACTGTCACCACCACCACTACCACACCATCGTCACTGTCACCACCACCATCCTCTTCATCAGTACTACTACCATCTTCAGTGCTATCACCACCATCACTGTCACCACCACCATCATCTTCATCATCGGTACTACTACCACCATCATCATCACAATCACCATCACCACCGTCATTAATGTCACCAGCACCACCATCCTCATCACTACTCCTACCATCTTCATTGCTATCACCATCATCACTGTCATCTTCACCATCATCTTCATCACTACTACCACCACCACCATCATCCTCACCATCAGTACTCCTACCATCATCATCATCACTATCACCATCACCACTACCATCACTGTAACCAGCACCACCATCCTCATCACTACTCCTACCATCTTCATTACTATCACCACCATCACCGTCATCGTCCCCATCATCTTCATCACTACTACTGCCACCACCATCACTATCACCACCACCACGACCACACCATCACCATCATCCCTGTCACCACCCCCATTCTCCTCATCAGTACTATTGCCGCCGCCATCATGGCTATCACCATCATCACCCTCTCCACTATCACCATCGCTCGGTAGATATGGGAGAGAGGTCCATAACCTCGTCAACCTGGAGAGAGCTGTGGCTTGGTCTCCGTCCAGTCCAGTCCAGTCCAATCCATATCAGTCTTCGTAGCACCTGCATGATCTCTAACACTGATAGTTTGCAGGCTTGGGGCAAAGGAGCATTGCCTTGGGTGTGTTGTTTAACCAGAGTGAAGTCTGATCCCTTAAACATCAAGTTCATGTTGACTTTTCATTGCCATATAAGTAGCCCAGACAATCTGTCCCCAACCTGTCCTTTCAAGGGTTCCAGATGGTGCCCTCGTCACTGCTGTGAGTTCATCCACTTTACTGCTGATCATCTCATCTTCTCTTTTCTTTCACCTTACATGCTTAATACATCTGTATTCATCTGCAATTGTCCCTAATTCATTTTGGCGGGATGATAAAGTCTGGGATTAAAAACACATGCATGGGCCTCTCCCTTGCTACCTTCTAAGCTCCATGCCCTCAGTTGACTTCTTGGCTTTCCTCCCTAGGCTGTCCCTGTGATGACCATTTTGTGAATGAATGAGTTCTCTTAGCCTGGCAATTGTAGCCCCGTCACCTGCTTCTAAAATTCCAAATTCTCTCGGCTGGGGACTCCTGGACCGCAAAGGCCAGCTTCAACCATTGAAGATCGTGTGTGTGTCTGTGTGTCTGTGTGTGTGTGATTTGGTCTAGTACAGAGCTAAGGTAGTATTCCAGCCTTGGCAACATTAAGACCTATGGACTTCAACTCCCTGAATTCTCCAGTCAGACACACATAGCTGGTTGGGGTATTCTGGGAATCGAAGTCCTCAAAAGTTACCAAGGTTGGACATCCCTGGTCTAATACATCTCTCCCAGCCCAATCTACCTGATGGGTTTATTGTGGTTGTGGAAAACAAACAAACAAACTGGAAGAGAGAGAACTCTGCCTACCTTCTCAAATTCTTGGAGAGAAAAAAATGGAATATAAATAGAATGAATATTTCCCTGAAAATTGAATTCTAAATATAAATGCGGGCAATATTTGGATATAATTCATTCCTAGATAACATCTTTGGGAAAGAAAGGTGTGGTTCCTAAATGTTCTCTCCCTTTCTCTCTCTCAATCTCTCTCTCTCTCCTCTCTTTCTCTCTCCCTCTCTTTTTCTCTCCCTCTTTCTCCTCTCTCTTTCTCTCTCTCTCTCTCTCTCCCTCTTTCTCTCCCTCTGCCCCCCTCAAAATCTCTGCAACTGCAATCTTCCCATATATGTGTGTGTGTGACAGAGCCTTTATAGGACCAACTGGATCTGACCTTTGCCTGCCTGGGTTTTCCCACGGGAAAGTTTCGTGTCTTCTTTATAGCACAGATGAAGAGAATCCTGGGCTCCATGGCAACAGATGATTATCCAGGGAGACCTTGTCTGCTCGTAGGCTAGCCTGCCAGCCAGCAGTTGCCAAAAGGACTTCCTCATAATTTTTGCAAACATCACAGAGAGAGAAACCCCTGCTGCTCATGGTGAATAATTGCCTGTTTGCTCTCGCCACCGTCCCACCCGCCAAAATCTTGTCTCAGATCAGTTATTTTGAGGGAGGATGGGGCAGGGCAAGGAGGAAGAATATTTTCATGCTTCAAAATCCAGCCAAACTATTCACAAAGTAAAAAAAAAAAATGTTTTTGTCTATTATAGCTTCCTCAAAGCTCCCTGCCTCACCTGATCATCATTTAGGTGTTTTGTTTTGTTTTACTTGAAATTAAGCAAAAATCGAAAAAAAAAAAAGAAAGCCATTCTCCTGCAAAGCAAGAATCCAGCCTCAGCTCTGTACGGCTCTGGGTTCAGAATCAGAATAACAGAGTTGGAAGGGACATTGTAGATCATCTAGTCCAGTGGTTCTCCACCTGTGGGTCGGGACCCCATTTGGGGTCGAACGACCATTTCACGGGGGTCGCCAAACAACGCAGTCCGCCATTTTTTTTCCGTTTTCCTTAGCTGTGCTACTCCCTTTTATTCTGTTGGCTTTTGAAAGCCAATAGAATAGACTCTCTTGAATAGAGTCTAATTCTATTGGCTTTCCAAAGCCAATAGGAATTGTCCAGGCTGTCTCTGCCCTGCTGAGCCCGCCAAAAGTCCCATTCTGCAAACGGTGCTGCACCAGTTGAGTAGTCCTTGACTTACGACCGGTTGAGTAGTCCTCGACTTACGACCGGTTGGGGGTCGCGGCATTAAAAAGGTTGAGAACCACTGATCTAGTCCAACCCCCTGCCCAAGAAGACCAGTCATTTCTGACAGGTTCCCCCAAGAATCTGAAAGAATTCCTAGAAATGTGAATGGCTGCTTCTGGGTGTGCCTGCTTCTCTCCCCCACCACCCCACCATCCCCAAAAAGCAGATTAACATTCTAAGATTAGGAGTGGGGGGGGGGGAACATCCTTTGTCTTTAGATACGGGGAAGTTTTGCGACTGGCCACCTCCTCCCTTCTCATTTTATGGGAATGCTTTTCTCCAAGATCTCAATTTCTTCTCCCACCACAACCCAGTCTTCTGCTTTTGAGATCTTTTCATTAGAACCATAGATTCACAGGGCTGGAAGGAGGTCTTCTAATCCAGCCCCTTGCTCAAGCAGGAGACGCTGTAACATTCTGGACCAGTGGCTGTCCAATCTCTTCTTGAAAATCTCCAGCGATGGAGCACCCACAACTTCTGGAGGCAAGCTGTTCCGTTGGCTAATTATTCTCCCTATCAGACAATCCCTCCTTCTTTCCCAGGTTGGATCTTCTTCTAACAAGCTTCCACTCCTTGCTTGTTGTCTTGCCCTCAGGCGTTAGGGAGAACAAATGGTGCCCTCTTCCCTGTGACAGCCGTTCAAGTACTGGAAGACAGCTACCATGTCATCCTTAATCAGAATAGAGCTGGAAGGGACCTTGGAGGTCTTCTAGTCCAGCCCCCTGCTCAAGCAGGAGGACCTATACCATCTCAGACAAGTGACTGTCTAGTCTCTTCTTAAAAATCTCCAGTGATGGGGCGCCCACGATTTCTGGTGGCAAGCTGTTCCACTGGTTAATTGCCCTCACTGTTAGGAAGTTTCTCCTTAATTCCAGGTTGCTTCTCTCTTTGATCAGTTTCCAACCATTCTCTCTTGTCCTGCCCTCTGGTGTTTTGGAGAATAACGTGACCCCTCTTCTTTGTGGCAGCCCCTCAAATATTGGAATGCTGCTATCATGTCTCCCCTGTTTCTTCTTTTCTTTAGACTAGCCAAACCCAAGTCCTGCAGCCGTTCTTCCTATGTTTTAGTCTCCAGGCCTTTAATCATCTTAGTTGCTCTTCTTTGCACTTTTTCCAGAGTCTCAACATCTGTTTTGTAATGTGTTGGCCAAAACTGGATGCAGTATTCCAGGTGTGGCCTTACCTAAGGCTTTATAAAGCGAGACTAACACTTCCCGTGATTTTGATTCTGTGCCTCTGTTTATACAACCAATCCTTTTATACTACGCTTCTCTTCGTTAAGCTAGACATACCTAGTTCCGTTAGCCATTCATTGCATGCTTTAGCCTCTAGACCCCTGATCCTCTTTATTGCTCTTCTCTGCACTCTTTCCAGGGCCTCAGCATCTTTTTTATATTCTGCTGACCAGAAACTGGATGTGGCCTTTCGAGCGTAGCCTCACTAATGCAGTAATTAAAAAGTGGATTTTTAAAAAACTAAACTGATACCCAGTCCTCCAAATATTTTTCAGTTCTTCTCTTGTCACCCAGCTGCCTTCTTCTTTTTGGGGTGGTGGGGATAAAGTAGCGGTGTGTGGTCACCAGCAGAGCGTATCCATAGCAATGGCTTGAGCATTGTTGCTGCTATTTGTATTGCCTTCCCTGTCCTGCTGTAGTTTAACTTAGATAAATTAAACTTTAGCCCCTATTGTCTCCCCAGCTGGCAGGATGATGGAACTGGTAGTTCAGAAGAGCAATAAAGAGCAGTAATCTCATAAAATGGGGCCAAACTTACTTAGCAAATTTCTTACTTAACCCCATAAATTTTGGTCACAGTTGTGGTGATATGTTGAGGACCACCTATATAGGTTTATTGCAAGCTTCAGTTCTCTACAAGAATTTGAGCTACCGGTCAAAGCGAGTTGGCGGTAGATAAGAGCCCTTGCAGACCCACCACGCAATCTGGATCCATTAAAGTGTGATTATTCTATTTGGTTTGTAAGGCATACGTCAATCCAATACAGAGGCCTCTGCCCTATATCAGTGGAGATGGAAAGTTCCCCATTGTTGTGATTGTGGTGCTGATATGCAAAAAGAGCCAATGGAATTCAGGGTGGGCTGGGCTTAGATCTCTTGTTGGCGCAAAGGGACTCAAGACTGATGGCACATTTGACCCCTTCCTCCAGCTTAGCCTGGTCATCTACATGGATGGATGGAGGAATAGGCAGGAAGATAAGGCAGGATAGGATAGGATAGGATAGGATAGGATAGGATAGGATAGGATAGGATAGGATAGGATAGGATAGGATAGGATAGGATAAGGCAAGGCAGGGCAGGGCAGGGCAGGGCAAGATGATAAGATAAGGTAAGATAAGATAAGATTAAGATAAGATAAGGTAAGAAGATGATAAGATAAGATAAGATAAGATAAGATAAGATAAGATAAGATAAGATAAGGGGGGGAATACCTTTAGGAAGAAAACTAAGCTTTTACTCCAGGAATTTTCAGTCCTTCCAGAAACAATACAGTCAAGACATCATTTTACCAGCTTGTTATCTTGTTGTAAGAGATGCTATAATGGAATAACGTCTGTGGATTTTTTGTACAGGAGCTGAGATCCTCTGCACCCTATTGTTAATCAAACCTGGCCTGTGGTCCCAGAACTTAGCTCGGTACCTCCGTAAATTGGATCGGGAGAAATTCAGTTTAGTTGGCATGAAACACACAAACCTCAGATCGGAAGTGGTCCAGATCTTAATGCCATCCAAGACTGAGCAGGTTTGTGGAAGCCGTTTCTCAGCTCCGTAGCTTTCTCCTCTGCTCTTACTTCTGATGCGAATTCATCCAAGGGGTCAGGATGTTGGGTCACTGCCCCAGTGGTGCTTTTCCAAAAGGCAGCTGGACTTTCTTGGGATTTTATTCCCTTGAAAACGTTTAAACTTCTCATCCGAGAAGCTTCTTCAAGTTCTTGCATAAGAATAAAAAAAAGATTTTTTTTCAAGGGAAAAAAAAAAACTAAGGAAGTCTCCTTGCCTTTTGGAAAAGCTCCTTTGGGACAACTCTAACCTGGATGATTGAGAATTTCCATAATCATGTTGGCTCCTTGTTTTGTTTGCTATCTTTGGTCACTTTTAATACCCATCAATCCAGTCTTAACCAGCACCTAGAGGAGGGGTAGGCAACCTTGGCTCTTTTATGACTCATGGACTTCAACTCCCAGAATTCCTGAGCCAGCCATGTTGAGGGGAAAGGGAGAGGTTTTCAAGCTGAGCCATGCTGGCTCAGGAATTCTGGGAGTTGAAGTCCACGAGTTATTAGTCCATAAGTCCTGTTTTTAAGTTTTATTTAATTCCAGTTATCATATTCCAATTTAGCCTTTTTAATCACTATTTATAATTCGGATAGGCTTAGTTTCCCTCATTTCATTATAAACTAATTCTCGTAACTAAAATACAAATATTATTCCAAAATTTAAATTCTTTCTTTATTCACCAATATATTCTGTTTTCGGCTTTCTAATCTTATTAAAGTGCTTCTGCTTCCAGGTTGCAAATCAATGGCTATGTTTAAATTCTGAAATTAGCCCAGATAGGCCTGCAGTGCTTATGAATCTGAACCCCCCCCCCCAACCACACAACTTTATAAAGTGCAGCTTTCGGTCTGGAACCAGCTGATCTAATGAGTGCTTTCAGATCTTATTAGCCGGAGGGACTTTTCATATTTTACAATTCCCCGAATGACGGTTTAAGTTCTGGGAAAAGAAATTTCATGCATATTTTAATCAGAACTGGGAAAATCCCAGGCAACTTGCCACGCTGGCTCTTAAAAATGAGATGCTGTTACCTAATAACCTGACTTAAAATGGAGAAGTGCGCAAGAGGAACCTTTGCAATTAGGCCAGTCCTTGGAGAGTTAAAGTATTTGTTGCTGATGGCTGGTTTATTTTGTTAGTCTCTGGATTCTAGGCGGCTGTCCTTCGTAAATTGGCAATTGTATATACAGGTAGTCCTCGAGTTACGAGGACACAATGGAGCCCAAAGTTTCTGTGGCTAAGTGAGACATTTGTTAAGTGAATTTTGCCCTGTTTGACAAGAATATCCACCCTGTTCAAGCACGGCTTTGTTTATCCTCTCTTCGACTAATTTTCTTCTTTATATATTTTTAATCTCCACCCTTAGGTGCCTGGAAGTCCTCCAAGGCTAGATTAATGAAGTCACACTGGGAGGTCACGTGATCCCCTTTTTCAACCTTCAGACGAGCAAAAAAGTCAATAGGGGAAGCCAGATTCACTCAACAATCGTGTTAACAACTTAACAACTGCACTGATTCACTTAACAGCTGTGGCAAGAAAGGTCACACAATGGAGCAAATCTCACTTAACAAATGTTTCGCTGAGCAACAGAAAGGTTGGGCTCCCCTGTGGCAACTGTACCTTAATGAAATAATGCATCAGTGTGATTTCCTTGATCTAGCAGTGGAGGGCTCCCAGGCCCCTGAAGGTGGAGATTAGAAATATATAAAGAAGAAGAAATTAGTCTGGCAGAGGATAAATGGAGCCGTGCTTGAACAGGGTGGATATTCTCCCGTGCCCAAAGTTACAGAGTCTTCCCCAATGTAAACACAAATGTTTTGAGCTGTGTGATAACAACAACAGCAATACAAATGATGCCAAACAGATGCTGGCAGTCACATGAATAATCTTGTAAATTTCTTCCAAGAACAGATTGATATCCCAGATTTCTCTCGAAACCGTGAATGTGAAATACAGAAAACAGCAAGGCTCAATGAAAATTTAATATTTGTTTGTGTCACAAATGTAAAGCTCTGGGAATCGGTGTAGGATTCCTTTGACTCTCCCCAGAGCTTGCTTGCTTGCTTTCTTTTTCTTTCTTTCTTTCTTTCTTTCTTTCTTTCTTTCTTTCTTTCTTTCTTTCTTTCTTTCTTTCTTTCTTTCTTTCTTTCCTTCCTTCCTTCCTTCCTTCCTTCCTTCCTTCCTTCCTTCCTTCTTTTATTTTATTATTTTATTTTATTATTTTTTATTTTATTTTATTATTTTATTTTATTATTTTTAAATGTATATGCTGCCCATCTCACTATTGAAGGACTCTGGGCAACTCGGAGTTAAATGGATCTTGAGTTCTGCAGATGTTGCTGAAGGTGTAGCTTCCAGAGGAAGCCCTTGCTGGCATGGATAGTAATCAAGCATGTTTGAGAATTGGAGATGCCTTTTTGATTAATTAGGTCAGAAATTGTCAAGGTAGAACCCACCATAATGGTTGGATTCACAAACTGCACTAAGTCATAATGTCAGTTACTCCATTTGTTTGGAATGTTGTGCAAACCTAACCATTGTGGTTTGTTTTCTACACTGCAGTTTGGGAAGAGGTATGCAATGACAAGTAAGCCTAATTGGTTAACTGCTACTGCCCATCTTCCTCCAACGGTATCTTGTTGGTAAGCATTAAGGGCAATAGAAAGTTAAATAAACTTGCTGGTAAACCACTCACTTAGGTGAGATGGGCCGTGTAGAAATTTGATCAATAAATAAAATAAATAAATAGAACGATAAATAAACAGCTCTGAGTAGGACACCCTCCTAGTTTCCTAAATCTATACTGAAGATCATAGCATAGAGTCAGGCTGTGAATACTCCATGTTCTAAAAAAGATGCTAAATGGATTGCAGTTTTGATCCCACGTTTTTCATCAATGCAGAAAAGGGGTTCTATGCACCCCCCCTCCCAAGATGTTGTCAAACTCCAATTCTCAAACATGCTTGATTACTATCCATGCCGGCAAGGGCTGCCTCTGGAAGCTACACCTTCAGCAACATCTGGAGACCTCAGGGTCAGTCACCAAGAGACTGTGAGTTCTAGTCCCACCTTAGCCATGAAAACCAACAGGGTGACTTGGAGACAATCCTCAGGAGACCATGAGTTCTAGTGCCTGCTTTAACCCTGAAAGCCAGCTGGGTGACCTTGGGCCAGTCACATTCTCTCAGCCCAACCCACCTCCCAGCGTTGTGGAACAATAAGAGGAGGAAAACGTGTTTTGGAGATGTCCGCCATCTTGGGTTGTTTGTAAAAATAGTAAAACAGGGATAAAAATAAGGTGACCAACTTTTTTACAATGAGAAGGAGGACAGAAATAAATTGAAGTAAGTCTAATGCATGCGTGCGTGCCGTGTCGTGTTTCGGTAAGAAGTAAACAAAGCCACTTGCGTGCGGCGCACCCTTGTGCGCAACGCACTCTTTCAAAACAATTCTCCTGTGCGGAGCGCATGCATCTCATAATCACGTCTCACCGCACTGTACCGAGCCTTGACGAATTGTCATGTCAAATACAAATATGTCACATCACACGTAACGGATCGGATCGGCATCGATCAAATACGGAGATTTACAGATTAGTCTTCAAATATCGAAAAGGAGGACATGTAGGAGGACACTTTTCGAGAGAGGACAGAACTTACAAAAGGAGGACTGTCCTCCCTAAAGGAGGACGGTTGGTCACTTTAAAATAAAAACAACTCCCCCCCCCCATCCCTTTTTTCCCAGAGCCCTGCTGACCTGGAAGCTCACTCCAGCTACCTCACTTCAGGATCCTCTCTGGTGCTGTGTCTTCAGAGAGAAAACGCAGTGAAGAAACTTCTGGATTTACTAGGACCCGAAGATCCCAAAGAAGCTCAGGCTATTAACCAGTTCTTCTGGAGAGCTCTGCACGGACACAGTCCCATCCAAAATGGCTTTTACGGTGAGTCTCAAAGTGGTCAGAACCATTTTCCCCCCTCTTTTTTCAGAACAAGCACAGTGCTAGATTTCTAAGCCAAGATTCTAGCTTTGGAGATTTTTGTGGCACTAACTTTGCCATCCCCCGAGAAATTAATTGATTGATTGATTAATTAATCGATAAAAGTTTAAGCTTTGAATTGTTTCTCTCTCTCTCTCTCTCTCTCTCTCTCTCTCTCTCTCTCTCTCTCTCTCCGGACACTGCATGCAGTCCTTGACTTAACAACCACAGTCAAGTCCGAGATTTCTGTTACTGAGCAAAGCAGTTGAGCGAGTTTCACCCCCATTTTATAACCTGTTTACCACGGCTGTTCAACGAATCGTGGCCTCTCCCATTGACTTTGCTTGTCATAAGCTACAAATGGGGATCACAGGACCCTGGGACAGTGCAACCGTCATAAAACAACCGGCCTCCAGAAGCTGTGAATGCTCCATCACTGGAGGCTTTTAAGAAAAGACTGCACAGCCATTTGATCTGAAATGATAGGGTTTCCTGCCTGAGCAGGGGGTTGGGCTAGAAGACCTCCAAGATCCCTTCCAACTCTATTGTTGTGGTGGTGGTTAAATACATGCCAGGTGCCAAGCACCTGAATTTTGACCATATGCAGCGGTCATAAGTGTGAAAAACAGTCATAAATCCCTTTTTTCAGTGCCATTGTAACTTTGAACTGTTGTAAGTAGAGGACTACATGTACTACAATCTCATGACCCTCTCAAATACTTTTGGGGGGGCTTTCTTTTGCATCTCCAAACCTTTAAAACATCAACTTTCAGTCCCCCATTGAGGCAAGAAGGATAAGGTATAGATACCGCTTGGGGTAACTTTCAACTACAGTACTCATAATCTACGATGATTGGCCCCGGTGTTGATTAGCTGGGAGCTGGAATCCACCAACATCTGGAAAGCTACGGGTTTGCCCCTTCCCGACGTTAAACCGTGAAAGTTTTCTGGTTGTCCTCCTTGAATGCCTTTATATCAAAACGCACGCTGTCCAAAATGGCTCTTTGACGTTGTGAAGACCCACCCGGTTTCATATTTCTTTCAAAAGGGCAACCATTGTGCTTGCCAAAAAGAGGAAGCCATTGATGTGGAACAGGGTTCCAGCAGACACATTACCCTGTCCCGAGTCCCATTCAATATCCCTGCAAATTGTTAATATGTCCCCGATAACGTAGAAATGAAGCCGCTCTCCTGACATCGAAGAGGGAGGCAGACCATGGTTTCAGATTGCCCTAATGGGCTCTGGAGCAGAGATGCAGCATCTCAGATGAACACCGAAAATGTTGAGCCTTTCCAAAGGCTGCTGCTGAAGTGCTATCTATCAATTATCAAGAGGAAAGGGATAATTACTAGGAGATCGAGTTAACTGTACTTAATTTGATTTAATTGAAATGGAATCGAAGAGAACCTTCCCTGAGCTCTGCCTGGGACGTTCTCTGCCTATTAGCCTGTCTCTGAATTACAGCCCAAATCGTCGGCATACTCTGGCTGTAAAATGGCAGATTTTCAGCAGGTCTGCAGGGTCCTGAATGACCCAAAGCCTTTGAGCGTACTTGTAAGTTAGGGGGTCTTCAAACTTGGCAACTTTTTAAGTCTTGTGGAGTTCAACTCCCAGAATTCCCCAGACAGCCAAATTTTTCCATTCTAGGTTGCTTCTCTCCTTGCTTAGTTTCCATCCGTTGCTTCTTGTCCAGCCTTCTGGTGCTTTGGAGAATAGGTTGACCTACGTCTTCTTTGTGGCAGCCCCTGAGATATTGGAACCCTGCTATCATGTCACCCCTGGTCCTGCTTTTCACTAGACTAAATGTACCCAATTCCTGCAACCCTTCTTCATATGTTGCTGTACTGGCTGTGTCTAGTTTAGTGAAAAGAAGGACTTGGGAGACTGATAACCATGTTCCAAGAGGAGTAAGCAGAGGTTGCAGCTGTAGAGTTCAGCAGCCAAAACCCAGGCTATCTCACTCCAAGGAAAGGACTGATGGAAGATTACTGGATTGGCTGCAAGCACCAACATAATTCCACGACTTTAGGGGTCTTCAAACTCGACCCTTTTATGACTTGTGGACTTCAATTCCCAGAATTCCTCAGCCAGGCACGTTGAAGTTGAAGTCCACAAGTCATAAAAGGGCCAGGTTTGAAGACCCCTGCACTACCTGATAACTTCCATCACATTCAGTACCAATCAATCAATCAGAATGGAGCTGAAAGGTCTTTGGGGGGTCTTCTAGACTCCAAGTCAAGCAGGAGACCCTATACCATTTGAGACAAATGGTTGTCCAGTCTCTTCTTAAAAACCTCCAGTGATGTAGGGACTTTGGCTTCCATATTGATCTGCAGACTTGGCAAGAATTATGGGAAAGAAATAGGAAAATCACCCTAGCCACTTCCTACAAGGAAAACCTCTACAAGATGTTTTGCAGATGGCATTTCCCACCCACAAGGTTAGCCAAAATGGGCCCAAATCTCTCGTCCATATGTTGGAAATGCAAAGTGGCAATAGGGACCTACTATCCTATGTGGTGGGAATGTCCTAAAGCCTGCGATTATTGGAACAAGACAAGAAAATGGTTGGAAGAAATATTAATGATGGAGACAGAGCCAAAACCAGAACTCTTTTTATTGGGCATAACTATTGAGAAATATGACAAAGGGATAGTCTATTTGATGCTACACATTCTGACTGCTGCTAGATTGGCATAGGCACAAAAATGGAAGAATAAAGAAACGCCCACAGAGGAAGAAATATTACATAAAATATTATCGTGTGCCGAAACGGACAGGCTCACAATGGAACTGAAGGACAAGAGTGGATTAGAATACTTCGAAATCTGGGACAAATTTTACTCTTGGTGGGAACAAAGGAGGTCTGTTCGGGTTACAGATTAGTGTATATAATTTTAGGTTAATAAATAGAGAAATGAATTAGGTATTGTGTAAAAAATATATACATGTACTTCTAGAGATAAAGAATTAAACGTAAGAAGAGAATCAATTTGTTAGAAATGTGTATACTGGAATGCCAAGTCATGTCCAATCTTTTCTTTTTTCTTTTTTAATTGTATTATAAATAAAAAACTTTTTTAAAAAAAAAAACCTCCAGTGATGAAGCACCCACAATTTCTGATAGCAAGCCGTTCCATCGGTTAATTGTTCTCACCGTTCATCGATACCTCCAGACTGAGGTTTGTGCACGTGCGACCCCCCCCCAGCCCCTTTGACTCTGGGACCCTTCTGATTTTCTAGCTTTCTGTAACTTGGCAGCAGAGAAGGAGCCAGACCGCCTTTCAGTTGTTACTCAGCTGCGAAGAAGAAGAAGAAGAAGAAGTCAGTGCCGGCACTGTGTTTTGTCAAATGCTTGGGCCAAATCATAACAGAGCCAAGTCAACACAGCACGGAGATAATGAAACCATTGCTCTGCATAATGGGCTTAAATGTTTGCTGTTCCACTGTAGAACAGGTGCCCTTTAAAGCAATTTCTTCAGGCATCTGTAAGCCATCAATCACTCTGGTGAAAAGAGCAGGAACAGAGACAATGTTTAATTCATAGTCTGATAGAATCATCTTTCTGCATTATCTCTCTCTCTCTCTCTCTCAATTTTTTTCCTTTTTTTTTTTTTAAGGCTCCGCGTCTTATTGTGCCGCTGTTCGTGACATTCGGCTGTTTTTTCCAGAAGGATTATGTGGCGCCACGTATTCAGATTTAGAGGAGAAAGAGGTAGGCACCTAGGCAGTTCTTCCCGACTCCTGAAGCAGTTTAACTGCCCGGGGTTCCACGTGGCCCCTTTTAATGACAACTGCTACAAGTCCACAACAAGGCAGACGGGAAGGGGAGACACGTAGCCGTGTACAAATAGAATTAACGTTGTTGTAGGAACAAGGGCACCCTCCCCAAATCCAGGGGGGGGAATATATTTCTACCCATCCATTTGACTTCATCTTTTGCTCTATTACAGTAATGGCGAACCTTTTAGATGCCTGGCTGAGGAATTCTGGGAGTTGAGGTACACAAGTCATAAAAGGGCCAAGTTGGAAGACCCCTGCTCTTTGGCGACTTTACGACCTGTGGGACTTCAACTCCCAGGATTCCTGAGCCAGCATAGAATTCTGGGAGTTGAAGTCCACAGGTCACAAAGGGGCCACAATTGCCCACCTCTGCCCTACAGCAACCTTACCTGACTTTTGTGCTTCCCCCAAATGTCTTGGGGTTGCCGTTCCCAGCCTTTGAAGCTTCTTTAGCTACTCAAAGGCTAGCTAAACTTTATACATTGTTAGGAATTATTGTCACGTCATCTGTTCCACTGGTCTTAAATGGCTGTCCGGAAGCCGTAGAGTCAGTGGGGCTTTCCTTCGTGAAATCAGAAGGGATGCAAGTTTGCCTCTCAAGGCCTGTGCGGCAAATTAAAATATCTCATAATGATGGGGCTTTTTAGAATTACTATATTTACATTAGCATAAATACTGGTTAGTCAGAAGGAAGCGCTGTCGCCAATAAGGCGTTCTGGCATCAGTCTTTCTCTTTCATTACGGTGAGTTCTTTGCATCATCCTGATCGTTGAATTAAGTCCTGACAGTTTTCTCTCTTTCTGTGCCCCCCAATATAAGCATTTCTCCTTTTCATTTCCTCCTCCAGGTTGGCCCTGTTACAGCTGACAGTGCAGCCCATTTTCTTGGGATCCACAAGAAACGCAGGCTTGTCAAGAGAGAAAACAAACCACAGTTCAGTTTACTGGGCCCAAAGCAGACACAAACTCTAGGTAAAAAGATGGTTAACTGGCTTATCGTTGCGGGTCTAAATTAGATATTGATTCACTGGGTAGCAAGGAAGGCAGAGGAAAGCACTGCAGCCTAAGTTGGTGCTAATTTCTAGAGGACAGCAGATTTGTTTGT